CCTGCAGGGGAGGGCAGTTAGGAGCAACCAAGCCTTGCAGGGGAGGGCAGTTATGGGTGACCAGGCCAGCAGGGAAGTTGGGGGTAATCGGACTGGCAGGGGAGCAGTTAGGCGTCAGTCAGGTTGGCAGGGTAGTGGTTAGGGGTGATCAGGCAGGCAGGAAGGTGAGCGATTAGAAGCCAGGAGTCCCAGATTGTGAGAGGGATGTCTGACTGCCAGTTTAGGTCTGAATCCACAGGGATCGGGCCTAAACTGGCAATAGAACATCCCCCGAGGGGTCCCAGATTGGCAAGGTTGCAGGTGCATTGAGGGACACTCCTGTCCCCCCCCCCCCCCCCAGTTCACGAATTTCATGCACTGGGCCTCTAGTACTAATATAACTTAATAAATAAGGGAAACTGTGTATATAGGGTATATGAGAACTATCTGTACTACTTTTACAATTTTTTGTAAATTTAAAGTTATTCTGAAATAAAAAGTTTATTTACAAAATAATTGGAGCTTCTTGTGAATGTTATAATAATAATAAACATAGGTCACTTTGAAGAAGAAAACTGAGGGAAACAACTAAAAAAGCAGTCACTTACATTAACTCTCATAAACATGTGCTCATGAAAACAAAATTTAAATCTGTGAATCCACACTTTATTTAATCAATGAGATAATTTTAGGCAATCAACTTCAGCTAATAGAACAAATAGACCATATTTACTTTTATAATACATGTGAGATAAAATTAACACAGGCACAAGTTGATTCTGCAATGTTTGATAAAACTAGAATAATTGTTATGCAATCAGTAGGTTACATAAACATTTTGCTTATGGATAACACAAAAGGAAAATAGTATCCACAGGAGAGAAATGAATTTTCAAGAAAGAGATCATTATAACTTACGCAAACTCTTCCAATCAGTAGGGGGAAAATGAATAGTTTTCACTAAAATTAGATTTACTTTGATACTCAGGATTTACTTTGATACTCAGAATGAGAACATGTTCAGAAAGGAAAACGAAAGTCAATCTCATTTATGAAAATCATTGCAACATCCCAAAACAATGTTAAACCAAATCAGAGTATATAAAACTAATTTAGATGACCAAATTGAGTTTTTTTCTCATTGAAAGAGAAATTATTAAATGTAACTTTCTATAAACAGTAGACTAAAAATGGAAAGAACTTGCATATATCAACATGGAAAGCACATTTACTATATAATTCAACACCTTTTCATGATAAAAACAATCTTTAGCATATGTGCTAGGATCTATATCAGCGATTTTCAACCTTTTTCGTCTCACGGCACATATAGATACAGACTAATTACTAAAATTCCACAACACACCAAAAATATATATTTTTTCCAACCTGATGAAAATAGGTATAATTTTGATTCATTCACACTGGAAGGCTATTGTGTTGGCTATCATTTTTTTTACAATCTAAAGGAAAAGAGGTCAGTGCCCCTGAGTAAATAGGTATTGCATGTTTAAAAAATTCTTGCAGCACACCACTGTGGGTGCTGAGACACACTGGTTGAAATCGCTGATCTATATAAACATCATTGTTTTGGGGGGGGAGTGTTTTTTTACTATTTTATTTTTAATTCAATTTATTGAGGTGACATTGGTTAATAAGATTATATAAGTTTCAAGTGGACATTTATATGATACATGATCTATGTGTTGCATTGTGTGCCCACCACCCCAAGTCAAATAATCTTCTATCACCATAAACGTGGCCTCCTTTATCCTTTATTAACCCCCATCCCTGTTGTCTGTGTCTATGAGTTTCAGTTTTATATCCCACATAGGAGTGGAATCATATGGCTATTAGCTTTTTCTGACTGACTTATTTCACTTAGTATAACACTCTCAGAGTCCATCTACGTTGTCCCAAATGGCAGTATTTAGTCTTTTCTTATGGCTGAGTAGTATTCTATTTATTATACATATTTCTTTATCCAATCATCTATCAAAGGACATTTTCATTGTTTTCATGTACTGGCCACTGTGAGCAATGTTCTAAATGGCAACATCATTCTTGACTTCAAGATATTAGCAGTCTTTTAGAAAATCCTGAAGCCAAAGTGATTTATTTATTTATTTTTAAATCTTTATTGTTGAAAGTATTACATATATCACTTTTTCCCCCATTGACCCCTTCAGGCCCACCCCCACCCCGCCCCAGGCAGGACATGTCTAAATTTTTCACAAGAAACAGGTTGTTCCTTCTCTGATCAAGGGTGTGTGTGTGTGTGTGTGTGTGTGTGTGTGTGTGTGTGTGTATTGAGAACTGATCACCACAATAAGTCTAGTTGAAATCCAGTTTTATGGATTCTGGGAGAAACATATTCTGAGTCCCAGATGTTGAGTTAAAAAAAATTAAAAGGGAGGGGTTGAATTAAAAATGAACCTTACTTGTATAAAGAAATACTATGTACAAAGAAATTCTAATTTCCTTCTCAGTGGTGAGCATATACTCACTCTGTCATGATGGAACATCTATTGAGGATTTGCTGAACATTAGTGATGCTTCAGTGATACATGAAATTTCAAAAGTACATGACATAGATTTCAGAAAACATACTTTCTAACAAATGCAATAAAACCAACAACAATGAATGTATGTAGAAACAATAACTTGACTACAAAAATACACGTATGGATCTCATTTGTGCATGTTTATCTGACCTCTTGAAACTACAAGGGAAAGAAAATTATGATATTTTCCAAAGGCCTGGTTTCAAATCATTTGTGACCCACCACCACCACCTCCAGAAACTATTTACAAATTACGTTTCTTAAGTGAGAATACCACCAAGGCCCAATCAACTGGCCTTCTTGGCAAATATGATACAATCTAACTTAAATGGCTGATAATGTGTTCAGCCCTTCCTGTGTGGCTACCATCAGGGGAGGAGGTATAGAGACCACAGTGCAACTTTGAGAAGCAGTCCTCCTGGCAGGGTGGTCACGTCAAGTTGTTACACTAAAACTGTGGTCAGAAGTGTTTGTGGATAGTTGACAAGAAATGAAAGCATGATATGTATGGTTTTGAAAAATTAAACTGTTGTAGTTCAACTTTTCTGTAAATGTATTTAATTTAATAAGGACATGCCCAAAAGACAAATTCTAAAATTCACATGAGTAATAAAATAAATAAAATGAACTGGAAGAAATAGAGCTGAGTCTGGATATGCATGGGTATACTGAATCAGAAGTGACAAGTTGAGCAATATAACAGCCAATAATGTGTAAACATACTTTAACAAATATGTATTTAGAATCTATTTATTACAACCTAACATATTAATTCAGAACATTCAGCTAGGTATAATGTACTGGGTGGGGCATGTACAGTGTCAACTAGAACATTGTAACAGGATGAACACATGACAGAAATCCCATAAATCTTAAATGTATACTTCGATGGGACAGGAAGTATATAGGTTTCAAGTGTACAATTCTATATTACATCATCTGTATATTTACAGCATGGATGAATCTTGAGAATATCATGTTAAGTGAAATAAATCAGACAGAAAAATTCAAGAACCATATGATTTCACCCATATGTGGAATATAAAACTGAAAGCAGCAAATGAACAAACAAGACAAACAAAAAAACAAAAGCTCATAGACACAGACAACAGAATGGTGGTTACCAGAACGAAAGGAGTGCAGGGAGATAGGGAAGAGTAGAGATGGTCAAGTGTATGGTGATGAAATATTTGATTTCGGGTGGTGGGCACACAATGTAATATACAGATGATGTATCATAGGACAGTACACTTGAAACCTATGTAATTTTACTAATGAATGTTACCCCACTAAATTTAATAAAATTGAAAAAAATCAGTGAAGTCAATGGATACAAGATCAACATGTAAACCTCAATTGTCTTTTTAAAAATATACTTTTATTGCTATAATATTACAGGTATTTCCCATTCCCCCTTTATCCCCCTTCTCCTTGCCCCTACCCCCATCCCAGGCCTTCAATACCCTATTGCTCATGTCCATGAGCTATGCATATAAATATATAAGTTCTTTGGTTTATCTCTTCTAGTCCCCCCCAACCCCACATCAAGGTATGTCAGTCTGTTCCATGCCTCCCTGCTTTGGGTCTTATGTTGCTGGTAAATTCATTTTGTTTATTAGACTCCACAAATAAGTGAGATCATGTGATATTTGTCTTTCTCAGATTGGCTTATTTCACTTGGCATAATATTTTCCAGGTCCATTCATGCTGTTCCAAAGCTCAATTGTTTTTCTGTTTGAAACAGCAAAAATTATTAAACATATTAAAAAATAAAAATGTAATTTACAAAATTGTGACTGTAAAATATCCATATTTCTGTAAGACTTCAATATAGGAAAATTAAAAATATAGTAGCAAAATTAAAGGAAACTTAATACATAGAAGGATAAAGCACGATATTAGTTAGAAGAGTCAATATTGTAAAAGGACTAATCTTTATAAATTAAAGTTTAAATATTGTCCCAAATATAATCCCAAGTGTTTTATTAAGGTGTAATTTACAAAACATAAAATGCATTCATTCAGAGTGTATATATCAGATATTTTTAGCATATTCCCAGAGTTAGCAACTGTCATCATGATCAAAATTTAGAAAACATTCAGCCCCGAAATAGTGTGCCAATTTTCAGTCATTTCTTATTCCCACCTCTCTTCAACACTTGGCAACCACCAATCCACTTTGTGCCTCTGTGGGTTTGCCTCTCAATGTGATCCTTAGAAAGGCTGAATGCCACAAATATGATGTTGAACAAAAAAAGTCAGAAACTAAAATTAATGATATCTGTACATTTGAATGTGTACATTATTCTCTAATGATTGTTAAGGAATTTTTCAGTATTAGAACAAATAATATAATTCATTTTAAGACTTATGCAAAAAAAGAGTTATGCAAATAACACTATTTCCATTTCATGAAAAATAGTTACCTGACAAAATCCAAATGTAGGTGTTTTAACTCTAAAGCTTATGTTTGCAACTATATATTTTTGAAGCTCCACAACTCCATGATGTGAGGCCATATACGTGCAGCAGAACACAGTCACCTTTATCAGATGATAATTCTGCTATTCTGTAACTAAGAAAAATGCATAATTTTGTTGTTATCGTGTATGGAGACAATCCATGAAACAATAAATAGCATTTTTCATATAAGTGTAATAGGAAAACATTTTGAAAATAGGTAATGATACTCTTCACATAATATTAGTAAGAACTGGTTATTAGGAAAACTGGGTAGTCATTCTTTAATATTTATATCAACATTTCATTAACTTTGAACTTCATTCTTCAAGTTTATAATTCAACTAAAACAAATGTATTCATAATACTCTTTTAAATGTCTCCTTTTTGTATTTCTTATGCAGTATTTAAAAAACAACTTACTTTAGTTTGAAAGCTGAACCATTTATCAACATCCATGGATGACTACTGCTGCTACGAAAAATTCCAATCCATGATGGTGGTAACATGAAACTCAGAAATTTCTACCACAAAATAAAGAATTTTTATTTAAATGATCATCATGAAAGTTTGTATTATTTTTTAAATGCAAGTAGTGTACTTTCATATGATCCTTCATTTTCAGAAAAAAATAAGATGTTGGATTTTAATTAATATTAAACATAAAATCATAAACCAAGAATTCACATTGCTAAAACTTTTCAGCAATGTTTGTACTTTTTCTACTTTAGATTTAAAATTAATTCTTGAACATTGAGACTTAGTAGTGATGTTAGCAAGGAAAATCCTGATATATGCAATGTAGTAGTTACCAATGTTGACAAAATTAACAGAACAAGGCTTTAAATAAATTTTCAAATACTTGTTTCAAGTATTTGATACTGTGACTAAATCCATGTAGATCTCTACTATGTTTCTCATAATTTAGGTTTCAGAAAAAAATTAAGGGATTGTCATTAAGAAAACAAATGACATGGAAGCCAAAAATTTGGTTTTCTGTGCCTCACATCATTCTTGAACCAGATAAGACCTGAACTGATCTATTCTGTGTTGGTGGAATCCAGTAGTCTAAGTATCAGAGACTCATTTCTCTGCTATTCCCTGCTAAATGCAGCTATAAATTCTAGAACTAGTGAAAGATGTAAGTAAAGGAGAGCTCTGACGGTGCAAAGAGAAAGGGAAAAGGCTTTAGTACCCCAAGATTAGAGAACAGACAGGGTAACTTATATCTTCACCCAACAGCAGTAACCTAGGCCCGCTGTTTCCCAGTATCCAACATAGCATTATAGGAGGTAGTTCAAAGGAAGCCATTCCTCCCATGCATCAGAGAGAGAATTCGGCCCAGCAACACCAGCCTAATCTGAAGGGCATCCATTAGGACACCTGCTAACAAAAGAAATCACAGTAAGTTTTCCTTCCCCCAAGAGAAACCAAGGTAGGAGGGCTGGAGGCGGGACCAGCAAAAGGGACCCTGTAACTAAAATCAATGGGCCCAGCATGGCTTTTTATTGCTGAGGGCATGAAACTCACATCCCCAATGAGAGACATCAGGTAGAATCGACTTTAAAATGTTCCATTCCCATAACTGACAGTGAAAATTAACAAACTGCAGATACATGCAGCAATATAAATAAATTGTGAAACATCAGATGGAGGTGAAAAATGAAGAAAAGCACACTGTATGATTCCATTTATATGAAAATCCAGAACAAGCAACATCCCATCATATTAAAAACTAGGACAGTGGTTAAATAAAGAGGGGAAAGATGTAATGAAAGAATACAGAGTAGCAGGGCTGCAGAGGTTGGAAACTTTCATTTGGGATCTGATGTGTAATTACATGGTTCTATTCATTTTGCAACCAATTTGCACAATTATGGTATCTTCAGTGTTGTAGACATATGGTAAAGTTAAATAGCAAAGTTTATTTTCGAGAACAAGCATTTATAGAAACATGGTTTTCTATGAAAAGCAACATTGGAACTCAAAAAATGTGTATGAATGTTATCAAATATAAATAAAATGTAAATCAAAAATAGAATATTAACACTTCAAAATGATAACTACAATATATACAAGAATATATGTCAACTTTGTTAATACAATATAGACTAAAGTAAGCTTTTAATAAAATGTTTGAAACACTTAAAATCTTACCATTTCTTCTTCATTATCTATATAAAGCAGGTTAGAGTTTTTAGAAGCACAGGCCAGCACACTCTCAATCCATGTTTTATTTTCAGTACTAATGTAATAGCAATTTTTAGAATATGTAAACCACTCCATTGGACAATGACCACAATGATAAGCTAAAGAAAAATTATAAATTTTTTACTGAATACAATTTGAATAAAAAATTAATCTACATATATGCACAGGTACATACATATCTGTGCATAATATCTATGCACATTCACAGGCTCATACATATAAAAAACACTCATACACCCACTCAGGGAGAAGGGTCACCTCTTATTGCCTAATTCATGTGCTCACATAAAGAAATAACACAAAGAAAAATATTAAATCTCTAATGTCTTGGAAGTCATTGGATGAAACCAATTTTTTTTTTTTTAGAATAGCAATGGGATTTTGTATCAACATAATAGAGCAGTAGGAATTTTGAGATAATTGGCAACAGTGGGTATGACAATTTTAAGTAAATACTCCTTCATTTTATTACATAAGAAGAAATACTTTTTTATAATTATTTGTAAATATTTATTGATCATTTTATAATTTATGTCCTCCCCCCTCAAAAAGTCTATTGTCATTTTTGCCTAGCTTAGGATAGAGACAAAATCTAAACTTTTCTAATATCAGAACTTTGAAAATTATTATGTACCTTTCAGGATGTTTGTGTTGAGGGATGAATTGTTCTTCTCCAGTTTACCAGTACCTAAAAAATTAAGGTAATTGTTTAAAAAGTAATTAATCTAAACAAATTATAATAATTTTTGTTTTTAGCTTGAAGTTTTTTAAAAAAATATTGTCTATGATGAGAATTATCTGTAACAAAATTGATTTTACTAAGAAAAATGAATAAAGTAATACAGATTTGGGAAAATATTTTAAAGCCTATGGGAACAAACTTCACCATCTCTTACAGTATGGGCTTACCCAATATCAAGAATTAATTTGCATTTCTCAATAAGTTCTTTTGCAGTGGTTCTCAACCTTCCTAATGCCGCGACCCTTAAAGACAGTCCCTCATGTTGTGGTGACCCCCAACCATAAAATTATTTTCGTTGCTACTTCATAACTGTAATTTTGCTACTGTTATGAATCATAATGTAAATATCTGATATGCAGGATGTATTTAGGCGACCCCTGCGAAAGGGTCGTTCGACCCCCAAAGGGGTCGCAACCCACAGGTTGAGAACCGCTGTATGAAATCAGAACATATAAATATGTATAAAATACTTCCTACAAATCATTCTATTTTTATGCATTTGACAAATCCAGCATAGTACATTTATCTAAATGTATACATTAAAATGAAAATTCTATTCTGTAATACTGTATTATGAAATGCTTAGAGGCACTCAGGTTCTTTAAAATAAAGTTTTCTTAAAGACTTCCAAAAACTTACAAGGCATAGAAAGTATCACTCTTACTACACTGTACATCAAGATAAGGCAGATAACTCCCAGGACCCCAGCAACGAGCTTCTCTGGAGTTGATGGTGAATCTGAAGGAAGAGAAAGGAGCGATGGAGATATTATTTAGACAGTTTTCATATAAGAGAACTCACGTGCACAGCGAATCATAAAGTTGAATCCTAAAACCATACCTAGCAGTGGAATCTTCCTCTCAGATGTACCATTTCATTTTCTGAAAACACGATTCTCCATGAGTTGTTGGTCAAAGATGACACCTTACAACAGTGCCTCAAAGAAATTAGCCCTCAGATTGCATATTAGAATACTGGGTGCCAACTTTAAGCTCTGACCCTTACAAATGAAAACATATGTTAGCTAATTCGCTACTCTTTTGCACACCTCTATATCCCAGGTGCACATCCTAGAACAATTATACTGTGTGTCTATTAAATGTGTCACCTTTGCCTTAGTCATCCTTGTAATTCCACTGAAGGTCTTGAAAAGCACTTGAAAGTTAATTCCCACACAGAATATTTATTGTTCAGTTGGTACAATGGAGCTTTTCATGCCCTTACCTTTCACTTGCTGTCTCCTTAAGTCCTCAGCCAGATTCATTTCTGAGTCATTTTCTTGTTGGACATCCATCTCTGAGCTGAGTAATGACAGGGATGGTGCCTGTGACAACAGTACTTAAGTAATTAGTAAATGATGTGAACAATGACAGGACCCCAAGGATGGTCGTTGTGGGTGGAGTGTGGATAGTAACAGTACTCACTTTGCATTTGACCAATGTGAAGTCTTGTTCTAATTTACATAGAGATTTAAATGTGTTTCATGATAGAATAGTTCTTAAAATGATATTCTATGTTTGACATAATATTAATGGTTGAAGCAATGAAAAGTAAGAAGTTACTGAAGAATAAAGAAATTCAGAATAATGATATAGTTATTAAAGTCAGATTCCATGGAAACATTTTAATACAGTTAGAATAACTGTGAAAATGAAAATGCTGTATAGAAAAAAAGTGATGCCCTAATTTTTATGACAATTTTTAAATTCAATAATGGTTACATATTGAGTGTTTTAAAGTTGGGGGAATAGTAGTATTAGAATATATAGTACTTTTCTTGAATACATTAATTTTATTTATTAAAAGGGCAGGTGATATTTTAAAATATCACATCATATTTTAAATAATTGTGGAGTTCTGAGAAATCATTATAATTTAAGAAAGTATTTTATATGCTGAAAAATGCTACATGACACACTAAAGGTGTCTAAAACTAACAAATAATAAAAGCAATAGAATGTTAAAGAATTTTTAAAAATACTAATTTTACACAAGTACCTTACAATCTATTTAATGGTTAATATATGAAAACATAAAATGATTAATAAATGTGTATATCATTTATGGAGGAACATTGTTAGTGCAAAATTCCTGAAAGATCCTAGGGCTATCAAAGTCAGTGAAGGTGACTTTAGTGTGTAGGCAAATGTAATAAATCTGATAATTTATTCAATAATTAAGTCCATGGACTATGCTGTCAGTGAGATCTAGAATAAATTCTGGCTTTGAAATTTATAATGTATTACCTTTAGAAGTTATTTAGTGTTTAACAACCTATCTTACTAATCTAAGGTGGGAATAAAATATGTTAAGGTACAATGCATGTAAAGATAACACTCAATCTGACATTTATAAACTTTCTGTATGTCACTTGTTTTAATTATTTTAACACAATTGCCTTGTTACTATTTCTGATTCATATCAGACAATGAAAACGTAATTCATTAGACAGGAGTCGCTTATCAGTGTGGCATCTTTTTGCGTGTGTTGTTCAATTTCTAAAAAGTATTTTGATTGTTTATAATTAAGCTTAAATATTTAACAGCAAAGATTTTTAAAAGTTTAAATAAGCATTTTACTGAGACTACTAAATCCTGATTTTTACAGCAAGTCACACTGATTTTATTTAGTCAAAGTGTATGTATGAGGAATTATGTTTTACCTTCATGACTTGATAAATTCTTGTTAAGAATTTATTTTTAAAATATGGGATAAATACAATTATCAATTATACATTGATAATTATATCTGTTAATTACAAAATCCAAAATCCAATGGGATTTTATTTAAGTTAAACTGATTTTCAAGCCCAAATATACATCTATGTATGCCCTTTAGTAATTTTTTACAGGCATAAATTTGAATATTTAAAGATATCTACCAACATATTTCATATTTTACTCTTTTTACCCTAAATTGTACAAGTAAGGATACCCATGTTTTCTTTGATTTGATTGTATGTGAATTGTACTTCAGTAGTACTACATCTAGCATTTGTAATTTCCCATTAAATGAATTGGGCCAGTAGAGAGACAGAAGAGTAGACACAAATACCTCTGGGAGCCAGTAAGTTATGAATCCTTTAGTGGGAGGCCAGGTCACTCCTGTAAACAATGTCTGTGGTCTCCACTGAGTGGCCTGTGAAGACTGAGAGTGAATCAAAAGTAGAAAAAAGTGGATTTCTCATCACTGTGTCACTTAGAGTTTGAACAGGAAATTCTTACACTTGGGCATTTTTGAAGATGATTTATCTCATCACACATCTTCCAGATGTAGGAGACTTTGAGCTTGTAGTGCGTCATTAAGTTTGTCCATTGGTAAGTGCCTCTGAGAAATTATTTTCATATTCTAAAAGATTTCTAGGACAAAAGACTTGACTACTCATATTGTTAACTTATTTCATCTTAAAATCACAAATCTTAGGCCTTGTGAAGAGTATCTCAGATGTTTAAGTTCTACTCTTAGACAAGGTTGCTAAATAATGGCATTCCCTCATTTTACTTATACACTCATTATGCTATTTTAATTATAATAGAATAATTCTAAAACCATAATTTCTTTAACAATAGCTACTTAATGATGTTTGTCACTAATAGTCTGATAAATTACTACATTTTCAACATATAGTAACTGCACAAATATTTATTGTCAAATGTATCTTCTCACACTCTTTGTTTTTAGAATTGCTATATTTTATTTTATTTGAATATTAGAAATATAAATTTTCCTGATATTAATAAATGTCTGTGGAGAATAAGACATTAAGCAACACTGAACTATACCATAATGTATAAATTGAAAGATTAAATTAATACTCATATTATTAATTCATATTCAAATTATAATTAGTAGTTTATATTTTAATGGAAATTTTAGTTGTAAATTAAAAAAACCCAAGTCTAACGATGTAAAAAGAAAGCAAAGGTAATTTTTAAAAATTTCACTTGACCATAACTGGGGAGGCAGAAATAGTAAACTTTGAAAATACACGGTAAGTGACACAAACCATTAGAAGAAATAGAACATTACATTTAAATTATCTAGTGTGTATCAGATAGAATTTTTTCATATTTCTCATATTACACCAAGAAAATTGGAAATGTTTATCTACATTAGTGAGTAAATTAAAATTGGGAGTACTGTATGATCCAGCAATCTCATTTCTGAATGTGTATCCAAAGAAACAACACAATTATTTTATAATTTTTAATTTATTGATTGATTTTCAAAATGGAGAAGGGAAAGAGATTATATAGATAGATATAGATAGATAGATAGATAGATAGATAGATAATAGAAAGAAATCAACTTATTGTTTGATTCTTTTTTAAGAATTTTAATTAATTAAATTTTTTTGGTGTTACATTTTTTAATAAACTGACAGAATTGTGCATTTATTACAAAAAAACACACCAAAAATAAAAAAAACAAAAAAACATTGTTTGATTCTTCTTTTCTTTAATAATTGAGGTATTACATATGTGTCCTTATCTCCCCATTGCTCCCCACATCCCCCACTCATGCCCTCACCCCACGGTGTCTGAGTCCATTGGTTAGGCTTATATACATGCATACAAGTCCTTTGGTTGATCTCTCCTCCCTACCACCACCTTCCGCTATCTTCCGTCTAAGGATCAACAGTCTGGTCGATGCTTCCCTGAATCTGGATCTGTTTTTGTTCATCAGTTTATGTTGTTCATTATATTTCACACATGAGTGAGATCATGTATGTGCCCTGACCAGGGATCAACAGGTATCCTTGGCATATGGGGAAAATGCTCTAACCAACTGAGATATCCAGTCAGGGTAACACAATTATTTGCAAAGAGATATCTGTACTCCCATGTTCATTGAAGTATTATTCACCATTATTAATGTTTGAAAGCAACCTAGGTGTCTTCAGTGGATGAATGGATAAAGAAAATGTTACACACACAGAGGATTATTATTCACCAATGAGAACAAGAAATTTCTGTGATTTGTCTTAAGGATGAACCTGAAGGCATTTTGCTAAGTGAAATAAGCTAAACAGAGAAAGTGAAATACTGTATGGTATCATTTATATATAGAATTTAAAAATATGAAATTCATTAAAAAATGGTCCCAGAAGTTGGGGGAGGGTGCAGAAAATAAGTGAAGTTGGTAAAAAGGTACAAACTTTCAGTTATAAGATGAATAAGGCCTAAGGATCTAATCTATGATGGGGGACTAAAGTCAATAACAGTGTATTTTATAGTTGAAATTTACAAAGTGATAGAACTTAAATATTCTCACCAAAGGGTAAAAATGGTAACTAAATAAACCACAGATTATAAAAGTTTCAATTGAGAGGCACCCTTGCTTAATTTTAAAAATTCTAAAAGAAAATTCTGTAAATTGGTAGTTAGAACATTGTCACGGGGATATAAAGCCCATTGACAAGGGAATATAGGTGTCAGATGGGTAATAGACTTATTTTGAGGATCACTTCATAAATTACATAAATGTCTAACCACTATGCTCAATATCTTAAACTAATATGAAATAATATTGAATGTCAACTGTAATAAAAAATTAAATAAAATTGCACTTGTAAAAGATAAAAAATAAATTCTATAGTATGATTTTATCCCATTCTCTAAGAAAATCACTTGAAAACTCTGTGAACAATGTCATTACTTATTACCTGATATATTCTGAGAAGTTAATTGAGGTCAGAAAATTATGGGATGAAAATATAGTCTTTAAAACATGCACTT